AGATGAAGAAGCCCATCAATACTGGGACCACCAGCTCCCTGATGACATTACTCCCGATTTTAAGGTTATGGGTGGAGATGATACTCAAGGAATCAATGGCTTATCCTTTTCAAGCTTATCTTTGAATGATATCAGTGAGAGCTCAAGATTTTCTGCTTCAACTGGTAGTGGCTTTATTTCGAAAGACACTCAAGAATTATCTCCTCATCCTAGAAATAATAACAACTATGCTGAGAAACTGAGATTTCCCATTTCATATTCAGAGTATCCATCGCCTACAGGGTTTCAGCATTCACTTCCTCAACCATGGGACAAGCAAATTGTTAATGACGATCTGCTTCTTGGCAATGTTCACGAAGGGCCTCAATATAATGGAAATTCAATTCATGCTTTCCTTTCTGACATGCCAAATGAGCAGATATTACTTGACAATACAGATGCGAACCCTATAGATTTTTTGGCTTCACAATTCCGTGGTTTTGCAGCAGAAAGCCTTGCAGAGGTGTATTTTGCAAGTGGAGGTGACTTGAATCTGACAATTGAGATGCTTACTCAGCTAGAGGTAGAATCTATTTCTTAAGCATTGAAATAATTCAGCAGCTTTCTCTCTCTTGTAGATATCATGTGTTGTAATAATCCTCCATGATTCTAATTTGAATTGACATCAACTTCTTGATATGATGTTCCCCCTCTATGTTCTTCTTCTCTATGGATCTAAGTTCCAATTTCAATAGTTTGTTCCAGGGAAAAAAGCTTCTTCCTCTAACATGTTTAATCTGAAATGCAGAATATCTAATTAAGACTCGATCTTCTTACTTGGTGCACATAGCCATTAGTTATAAACTAAGTCTAAATGTAATAGAAATCTGGAACCAAGGAAAAAGTCATCTCTATTTAATTTGATGGATATATTGGAAAAAGGGAAAGATTTATTTCATTAAAATGATGCAATGGATGGAAATTTGCGTTAAGAGCTAAAGTGCATTCCATTTGCGTGCTTTTTGTGTATTAACTGCAAAGATGTTAATGTAATCCCTAAAGATAAATGTGTGGATCATTGTGCCAACCATTCTTAGAAAAGCCATATCCTTGGAAAAACTGTTGGCATCAATCAGCATCTTTGTTTCATGATTTCGAGTTGTATTTGGACTCGTGTTCAACCTTCCAGGA